TGTTCTATATATAAAAAAAATATATATATCGACTCGAACTTGAATCGCCTTAACTATCCCATCACTGTTCCTGTATCTCTAATTAATCTTCCACTCTGCTCAAAACAAAGTTATTACCATAGTATCAAACCTGTTGTTGACATTCCCAGTCATCCACACCATGGCAATCCTATGTGCCCCTCTGTTTTTTTTTGGTTTTGTTTGATTTTCCTGAAAACATTTAACTTTTTTGTTTTTTATTAAAGGTTCTTAAAAGTGATTATGATAAATACCTGATTTAGTGATATTAGTGAAAAAGATTTTTATTTTTAGCATAACATCATGTTGAATTTAAACTAGTCATCAACCGTAGGGAACTCTTCTAACACAAAATGAGCTGCATTAAGAGTCGTGCAGCAAAAATGTTCTAGTGGGATATAACCAACCGCTGAGCAGAAAGATAAAGCGGCAACAAAGGAAAAGCTCAGGTAAAAACTGTGCCAGAGACGCAGCTTTTTAGGGTGTATATATGTAAAACTAGATGGCGAGTTCAAGTGGGGTGGAAGAAAAAAAATTGAAGCTAAGAAGTACCATCGGGAGAGGGCTAGACTGTAGCCTGCTGGTTTCCCAAGCCTTTACACTTTAAAAGATAGAACCATAATTATTTGTCATGCTTCTTATTAATTCACAAGTGACAATGACCCAAACGACTCCTACAACAGCTTGGTGGGTAAATGGAACAATTAGTCAAATAACCCATTTTAATTTAATCGTGCACATGCCTGGAGTTCTGAATTCATAATCACTAGTAGCAAAGCTGTAGATATGACAAAATGTTGAATTTGACCTTCGATTCTTGATGCACTTGAGGCCTGTGGCCGTTTTTCATCTGGAAGAAGGGTAGGATGGCTTTAGGGGTCAGCATAAGAGCATAAGTTAGTTGGGAGCAGAATTTATTGTTTTGATTTTTACTGTATCAGTAAATGTATTTTATAACACCCATAACTCCAGTGAAAATTTTAATTAGGACATTTATATTTAAATATAAATGTTCTTTTAAATATATATGACTTTGGTTTGCTGTGTGCTGTTTTATACACAGGATGGTATGATCTTGTATTTACCTGCACCCAATAGTATGATTTCTTATTACTGACTAGATTCTACAGGTGCTGGTCATAAAATTAGAATATCATGAAAAAGTAGATTGATTTCAGTAATTCCATTTAAAAAGTGAAACTTGTATATTATATTCATACATTACATACAAACTCATATATTTCAGATGTTTATTTTGTTTAATTTTGATGATTACAAATGACAACAAATGAAAATCTCAAATTCATCATATCAGAAAATTAGAATATTACTGAAGACCAATAAAAACAAAGGATTTATAGAAATGTTGGCCAACTGAAAAGTATGAACATGAAAAGTATGAGCATGTACAGCACTCAGTATTTAGTTGGGCCTCCTTTGGCCTGTATTACTGCAGCAATGCGGCGTGGCATGGAGTCGATCAGTCTGTGGCACTGCTCAGGTGTTATGATAGCCCAGGTTGCTCTAATAGTGGCTTTTAGCTCTTCTGAATTGTTGGGTCTGGTGTATTGCATCTTCTTCTTCACAATACCCCATAGATTTTCTATGGGGTTAAGGTCAGGAGAGTTTGCTGGCCAATTAAGAACAGGGATACCATGGTCCTTCAACCAGGTACTGGTAGCTTTGGCACTGTGTGCAGGTGCCAAGTCCTGTTGGAAAATGAAATCTGCATCTCCAAAAAGTTGGTCAGCTGCAGGAAGCATGAAGTGCTCTAAAACTTCCTGGTATGTGGCTGCGTTGACCCTGGACCTCAGAAAACACAATGGACCAACACCAGCAGATGACATGGCACCCCAAACCATCACTGACTGTGGAAACTTTACACTGGACTTCAAGCAACGTGGATGAAGTGCCTCTCTTCTTTTCCTCCAGACTCTGGGACCTTGATTTCCAAAGGAAATGCAAAATTTACTTTCATCAGAGAACATGACTTTGGACCACTCACCAGCAGTCCAGTCCTGTTTCTCTTTAGCCCAGGCAAGACGCTTCTGACGCTGTCTGTGGTTCAAGAGTGGCTTGACACAAGGAATGCGACAGCAGAAACCCATGTCTTTCATACGTCTGTGTGTGGTGGTTCTTGAAGCACTCACTCCAGCTGCAGTCCACTCTTTGTGAATCTCCCCCACATTTTTTGAATGGGTTTTGTTTCACAATCCTCTCCAGGGTGCGGTTATCTCTCTTGCTTGTACACTTTTTTCGACCACATCTTTTCCTTCCCTTCGCCTCTCTATTAATGTGCTTGGACACTGAGCTCTGTGAACAGCCAGCCTCTTTAGCGATGACCTTTTGTGTCTTGCCCTCCTTGTGCAAGGTGTCGATGTTCGTCTTTTGGACAACTGTCAAGTCAGCAGTCTTCCCCATGATTGTGTAGCCTATAGAACTAGACTGAAAGACCATTTAAAGGCTTTTGCAGGTGGTTTGAGTTAATTAGCTGATTAGAGTGTGGCACCAGGGGCCATCAATTTTGAACCTTTTCACAATATTCTAATTTTCTGATATGATGAATTTGAGATTTTCATTTGTTGTCATTTGTAATCATCAAAATTAAACAAAATAAACATCTGAAATATATGAGTTTGTATGTAATGTATGAATATAATATACAAGTTTCACTTTTTAAATGGAATTACTGAAATCAATCTACTTTTTCATGATATTCTAATTTTATGACCAGCACCTGTATATTTGCATGAAATTTGGAAATATTTTGACTAGTCCAAGTTTTTTTTTTTTATTCTGTAATCTAGATATTTTATATTTAATGATATATGAAATGTTTTTTTAACATTTTAAGTATCTGATTTATTTAAAAAAACTCCTTTTTACTTTTTTGCAGGGTGGGTTATGTTAACCAGACTATATAAATGGTTGTATGTTAGGGAGTGCAGGCGTGAAGGAGTACAGGAATAGGGGATATTGAGGCTTTGCCTAAGATCCTCCTCATACAAGAGTTAGGATACTGTTGATCCATTTTCCAGGCCAGATCAGCAACAACTATCAACATTGATCTTTTGTGAAACATTGCCAAGTTGTGACTTAAAAAAAATTATGATGTCAAAATAAGCCAAGAATGGCCCAGAAAACGCTATGTTCAGTTTAGCTTTGAATAATGTTTTAAAGATTCTCAAGTTATCAATATTCTTTATTTCAATTGTTGTCTGCAGCTCTTTCATAATTGTGTTGATTCTATTTGAATGCATTATTAATAGTATAGCAGTAAGACTAGTCTGTACATGTACAGGTGCTGGTCATAAAATTAGAATATCATGAAAAAGTAGATTGATTTCAGTAATTCCATTTAAAAAGTGAAACTTGTATATTATATTCATACATTACATACAAACTCATATATTTCAGATGTTTATTTTGTTTTATTTTGATGATTACAAATGACAACAAATGAAAATCTCAAATTCATCATATCAGAAAATTAGAATATTACTGAAGACCAATAAAAACAAAGGATTTATAGAAATGTTGGCCAACTGAAAAGTATGAACATGAAAAGTATGAGCATGTACAGCACTCAGTATTTAGTTGGGCCTCCTTTGGCCTGTATTACTGCAGCAATGCGGCGTGGCATGGAGTCGATCAGTCTGTGGCACTGCTCAGGTGTTATGATAGCCCAGGTTGCTCTAATAGTGGCTTTTAGCTCTTCTGAATTGTTGGGTCTGGTGTATTGCATCTTCTTCTTCACAATACCCCATAGATTTTCTATGGGGTTAAGGTCAGGAGAGTTTGCTGGCCAATTAAGAACAGGGATACCATGGTCCTTCAACCAGGTACTGGTAGCTTTGGCACTGTGTGCAGGTGCCAAGTCCTGTTGGAAAATGAAATCTGCATCTCCAAAAAGTTGGTCAGCTGCAGGAAGCATGAAGTGCTCTAAAACTTCCTGGTATGTGGCTGCGTTGACCCTGGACCTCAGAAAACACAATGGACCAACACCAGCAGATGACATGGCACCCCAAACCATCACTGACTGTGGAAACTTTACACTGGACTTCAAGCAACGTGGATGAAGTGCCTCTCTTCTTTTCCTCCAGACTCTGGGACCTTGATTTCCAAAGGAAATGCAAAATTTACTTTCATCAGAGAACATGACTTTGGACCACTCACCAGCAGTCCAGTCCTGTTTCTCTTTAGCTCAGGCAAGACGCTTCTGACGCTGTCTGTGGTTCAAGAGTGGCTTGACACAAGGAATGCGACAGCAGAAACCCATGTCTTTCATACGTCTGTGTGTGGTGGTTCTTGAAGCACTCACTCCAGCTGCAGTCCACTCTTTGTGAATCTCCCCCACATTTTTGAATGGGTTTTGTTTCACAATCCTCTCCAGGGTGCGGTTATCTCTCTTGCTTGTACACTTTTTTCGACCACATCTTTTCCTTCCCTTCGCCTCTCTATTAATGTGCTTGGACACTGAGCTCTGTGAACAGCCAGCCTCTTTAGCGATGACCTTTTGTGTCTTGCCCTCCTTGTGCAAGGTGTCGATGGTCGTCTTTTGGACAACTGTCAAGTCAGCAGTCTTCCCCATGATTGTGTAGCCTATAGAACTAGACTGAAAGACCATTTAAAGGCTTTTGCAGGTGGTTTGAGTTAATTAGCTGATTAGAGTGTGGCACCAGGGGCCATCAATTTTGAACCTTTTCACAATATTCTAATTTTCTGATATGATGAATTTGAGATTTTCATTTGTTGTCATTTGTAATCATCAAAATTAAACAAAATAAACATCTGAAATATATGAGTTTGTATGTAATGTATGAATATAATATAAAAGTTTCACTTTTTAAATGGAATTACTGAAATCAATCTACTTTTTCATGATATTCTAATTTTATGACCAGCACCTGTAGTATCCCCCATGTGAAATGAATGCATTAGTGTTGTTGTTCACTGTTTTACAGTTTTCTTTTCTGTTTCAGATCTACATGCAAGGTGATCTCCGGGTCTGCGGGCGTTCTTCAGTCACCATGAATGATTAGGAACTCAGCTCTCCAAGGGATATAATGGTTTGTTTTGTAATATCTCTACACTACCACCTGACATGTGACTCCAGCTGCCTGTGAAGGATCTGTCAGCTGTTTATGGAAACCATTTGTGTATTTGCACTCTTGAGGATTTAAAATTATATTTTTTTTGGTTATTTTTTTAAGGACAACAATTTTCTATTTTAGCCCCACTGTCGGGTAAAAGCAGCAGCGCTTTGCAAAAGACTAGGGGTGGCAGCAGGAAGCAAGGCAATGGCAAACAACTCGTACAGTGGGGTGAAGAACTCCCTGGTGGAGGCCAACCACGATGGGGACTTTGGCTGCACACTCAAAGAACTGCGCTCCTTAATGGAGCTACGAGGCGCTGAGGCGATAACCAAAATTAGTGAAACCTACGGAGATACTCAAGGACTCTGCAACCGTTTAAAAACATCACCTATAGACGGTACAGTATAATGTTTTCTGTATTTTTAAATGCTACTACTAGAAGAGCTATTTAGGTGGTAATGATGTGGTAAAAAAGTGTTTTGAAGGTGCTACACTTCATACATAGACTTCACTGCCAGACAGGTGTTCAGACAAGCCGGTCGGCTGTGACCTAGGCCTATCCTGGGCTATTTCAAGGTCTCTGCTTATGTCCCCCACACCCCACTTCTCTCTCTTCTTTCACCTCTCAGTCTGTGTGCATGCTTGTATGTGTGGCTTCAGACAGACCAGCTGTTTCCCTGGGCACAGCACCAGTCTTCAAGCAGGTCACACTCCCATGTGTCGTCCAAAACAGTGCGACTTTCTACATGTTATCATCTGATTTTTATTGTGCTGTAAAGCAGTTGATACTTAATCTAAAAATAGTCAGCTTTCAGAAAAAAAAAAAAATCTCAGCAGGGTGTGTGTTGCCACCTTCCTCCCTCCCTACCTCCGTTTGAATTTGTCTCTCTGTAGACAGTCTGCTTAATCGTCAGAATGACCTTGACTGAACTCTTATGGGAGGGGATTTTCAGTTTGATCCCAGATTAAAACGGCACCACATATTCACTGTAACAGCAACAGTCGGCTCTATGTAGTGCCTCAAAGCAAGGAAAAATCTTCCTGGCCTTCATCAAAGAGGCAGTAATGTGATAAATACCATGCTTTACTGCAGCGGAAAACATTTCTCATTGCAGCCACAGTCATTAGCTTACTTTGTGAATCTTGACCTTTCATTTATTGATGGTGGAAGCGGTGTGCCCTGTTTACGTTTCGCAGTTTTTATCAGCATGGAAGACTCTGAACTGTGTTGAGGGGGGAAAATGTAGGAGAAGGAATTTAGTGGTTGACAGGGTGTGAGTTGTCTAAACATGCATGCAGCTCTGTCATGCTGCTAAACGTGTAGTACCGTCATTTTACTAACATTAGTGACATTGCTTGTTTTGTAAATGTATTTGTCCTCATCCGCTCAGCGCTGTACTGCACAGGTGTAGCTTAATGATTAGAAACTTCTTAAATTAATAAAAAATGATAAAGATCAAGGGGGGGGACTATCAAGAGGCTGTTTCTGAAATTTTGACTATAATTCAGAGAAATTAAAGCACAAAGTGTTGCTTCTCATAAAGGTAAACGAGATTAACAAAAGAGAGGATTTATTAAAACAAACAGCTTTATGTTGATTAAGGTGTTTAACTGCTGTAGAGTACATGCACTTCACATAAAATAGGGTTCCTTTCTTTGAAGACACTACATCAGTGTGATGTAGCATGGAGGCCATCAGCCTGTGGCTCCGCTCAGGTGTTAAAGAAGCACAGGTTACTTTAGTAGAAGGCCTTTAACTTTTCTTTATTGTTGGGTCTGATGTCTCATCTTTTCTCTTGATACGATACAGTAACCCCAAGGCCATTAAAGCAGGAACTGGTACTTTCAGGAATGGGAGCTGCTGCCATGTCCTTATGGAAAATAAAATCTCCATAAGGCTTGTCAGCATGAAGTGTTGATAATGCTGCTTTGAGCCACAAGTAACTTTCGGTGCTTTTCTGCTTTTCCCCCAGATTCTTAAACCTTAATTTTAAAATGAAATGCAAAACGTATATTAAACTGTACCTTTTAATCACGGTTCTGAAGCAGGATTTTGTTCAGGGTTAGCTTAGCGCAAGCAGTGCAACAGCTGTTCCTTATGTCCGGTGTGTGTCTGTGTGTCCTGGCTCCTGAAACAGACTCCCTTCAGTCCAAGTGAACTTTCCCCCCGACTGTGAATGATCTTTGCGTATCAGTCCTTTTAAGGCTGTTGTGATCCCTGTTGCATCAACACATTTTTCTACCACATTTTTTCCTTTTACTTAACTTTGTGTTTTTGTGCTCAGGTATAGATCTCTGCCATCAGTCAGTGTCTTTATTCAGGACTTTTTGTGGCTTATCCTTTTCGGAGGCTATCAAGACGTCGTTTTACCACAATGGTCCCACGTAACCCAAAAACCAAAATCCCCACCTGGAAACCATTTATATTTTGCAATTTGATCTGTGGAGATTATGGAGTCCATGTTCATCAGCCTTATCCTAAAGGAGTTTGCCCAAGGAGAGTTTCTCTGGACCACTGTCTGTATTTTGTAGCATGTCAATCTTTCCACGATTTCTCCGGACCTCTTAATGTTCCTAGTGATGAGGGGTTTATTATTTTCTATTATTTTCCTTCTAAAGTGGATCAGACGGTACTATTTTTTCAGATCAATTACAGCTCCTGGTTGGGTGTAAAATTATTTCCAGTTGAACCTAAGCTGCAATAAACACATTGACCATGCAATGAAAGGATGGTCTGAACTGATCTACAGACTGGACAACTTTTAAGTCAGCCCTTTCCCCCATTAATGTTTGGGGTAGAATATGAGCAAAACACAAAACCTTGTTCCTTTGTAACATTTCACCTTTAGGTATGATTCTTAGGCTTTCATTAGCTGTAAGTCATAATCATCACAATAAATAGAATTTAATGCTTGAAATGTTTCACTATATGTCGTATTCTTATTTTTAATTTAATTGTTAAAGTGAGGCAAATAATAATGATAAAACTCTTTTGGTTAAAAACACAAAGACAATTTGGTTTGAAATTCAGCAAATAATTTACATGGTATAATACAATTATTAGACTTGGAGCATTAAAATGGGTCTCCTCTTTGCATTGGCTTTCAGAATTCAATGTAACAATCCTTATATTTAAAGATCAGAATGGCTTTATAATTGGATTATTTCTACTGCTATCAAAATCCAACCCTTGATCTTTATTTCAAATACATTTGATAGCTCCAGATCAAGTTTCATCTCCCAACAGGTGTTGTTCCCAGTAGGTATGCAGCTGTGGTAGTCCATTCATTCATCACTGGCATGGGAAATTAAGGCATCCTGTAAGATTATAAGGGCTTAACAATTGAAAAGGGATTTCTAATTAGTTGGTCAGTTATTTTTCAAAGCTCTCAAGTCGATCCTTTGCTAATCCTTCACATTTCCAAAGCTCTACGGCTGAACTGCTGTGTTGATTATTGAACTGAAATTTACATTTAACTCTTTTATGTTGAGGACCATGTTATTTAGTTAGTCTAAATGTTATTCTACTCCCAATGAAGACGAATGTCATATAAAATCATCATATTCTTATATGATCAATTTAAATCTGATAGCTGATCTAATTAAATAAGTGTCTCTAGCCATGGACTGGTAAGAGATTCTAAGCTTATGATTACTTTAAATAGAAATAGCAAATTTTCACCTTATTTCCACAGGACATCTAATAGAGAAGGTTAGTCTTTCTCCTGCTATGGAAATGTATTAGTAAATCTATTAGTTTCAGTAAATTAGCAAAATACTGAATAATCAAAAGATTTAGATTATAACAGCATTTTACCCTTTTACTGTTTATCTCTTGACATAGTAATATGAGAATAGGATGCTGACAGTAAGTGGGCTGTGGAAAGCAAAGCTATCCTCAACTGCTCAAGACATGCATGTTATAGCCATCGTTCTGTTGTTTTAAGACGGTTATCTTATTAAGCACTGACAAGAAATACTGCATTGTTTCAATGAATGCCATGGCATGTCATGTTTTTAATGCAGTAAATGTTGCCACACGGCTGAATTTGCTTTACTTGTTAGTAGAAGAAAAGAGTCCTTGGGCTAGTTGATCAGCAGTGTGGAGCTACAGCTGCTGGTGGAAGGGCAATGCAGTGTTTACTCTAATAGTCATTCAGGGTACTTCCATGAAAACATGACTGATTATCTTGTCATTTTTATATTGATACCAGTAACTTTCCCTTGTGTATAATTGGTTAGTTTAATGCTCATGTGTTATTCCAAAAATCCAGGTGCCATTTCACATTCACAAATACATTTATGAACTCCGTCTAGAACAGATATTGTCTGTGTTAAAGCAGAGGGGTATTTTTTTTTTATTATTTATTACATAGAAGGTTACACTGTCTTTTTTACTTTTAAAGAGATCTACTTTTGGTAAAATCTGCCCTTTTTATAATGAGCCTTTTAGTTTCATGTCAAATTGTTGAACCTATCAATACATGTCCTGTTTGTCCTGCTTGCTGGCCCAACAATAGTTCACTTCCTCTAGGTGCTAAAAGATCTTGTTGTACGACTCCAGTTTCAGCTTAGCCTCTATACCCCATTGTTATATAAATGGCTATTTTAAATAATAATGATTTAAAGAGGAACTAACCCAGTCTTGGTTATGTGAAGTTTAGCATGTCGAACTTATAAGCTGGCTAACATTTGTTGAAAGTGTCAGTCTGAATAAAAAAAAAAAAAAATCTTCGACATTTAAAAAAAAAAATATAAAACTATTAACATTTGACAAGGTTTTTTTTGCCCTTAAATAGATTATAATTAAACCTTTACCATTTTATTAAACATTACTTCCTATATTTCTGCTTATTTATGGTAGTCCAGGTCCATGTGTTTTACTAATGGACATTGGTGTTTAAAAAACGGTTTCTTTTATCTGTCACTGCAGATTCCCCTCACACCCATACCATTATCAGACCAGTTAGGGCTGTCAAATGGTAGTTTACTCAGCTGTAGGTCAGCACGCCAAAACTTGTCATCAGGTCTAAATTCAAAATGATATGATTACGACTTTTGAATGAGTGAATAGCATTGATCACAAGTCGCATCCTGTTTTTTTAGCATGATGAATACAGTTTGCATGATAAATAATATTTATGCAACAAAGAAAGCAAAAAACAAAAACAAAAAAGAACAAACAAATACAATTAAGCGAATATGTTTTTTGGAAAATACCTGCAGGCAGTCTCATCTGTCTGGAAAAAATATGGCAGCACTATTTTAAGGCAAAACAGAAAAAGACATGTCAAAAAGTTTGCCTCTGTTCATTTTAATTGCAGCATTCCTATGTGGTGGTTTCTGGCCGCCAACTGCTTCAGTGTGGCACAGCCTTTTTGAGACATTTCTATTTTC